TTTTGTTACGTTAAAGAGTATTAGTATCCCGTACAAATTAATTTTGTTACGTTAAAGAGTATTAGTATCCCGTACAAATTAATTTTGTTCGTTAAAAAGTATTAGTATCCCATCAAATAATTTTGTATGTTATTCTTTCATCTTAAAGTTTTTACATCCTTACCAATTATTTTCATTTACATATTTTTTAAAACTTAATGAAAATTACTTAATTCAGTGAATGGTCGTTCACAAAGTAAGTTACTACTAATCTGATAACGATATTCGTCAGTTTTATAACATTCAGATACCAATAAAGCTAAAATGTCTAGACAGTTAAGGCAAATACAAGTCATCACAAAACTCACATGTATGGGATGTCTCTCCAAGCATTGAACCTATATTTACATCGGAATATCGACACTGATGCTACAAATTTGTTCTCGTGAGTTATCCAGCCAGACAAGCTGTTTAAAATACTAAAAAATAAATGTGAAGCCCCATTTATAATTCCCTTTACCATCGAGTAACACCCGTTTCTGGAAAAATCAACCTCTTTGTTTAGTTATGATAAGGCATCCAACAATGAAAGCTATAGTACTTTTCTTTATCTTTTAGTTTTAATTATAATATTTTTGACATATTTTAGCAATATATATATATATATATAATTTCACTATGGTAATGTATTTCATGCAAGTTTTAACTCAAATCCATTTCAAATGAATATAATGCTACACTACTAAAAGTTAACGCATTTTAAATTGATTTCGGGCCTTGTGGTTTTCTTGATGTGTTTTTTCTTTATCTACAGGATCTTCGAAATAATTTGTTGAAAAGAGAAATAATCTTTTATATAACAAACTAAATTATATTTTCATATAACAACTTACTCCGTAAGCAGCCACACCCCTCTTAGTTCTCCATCAATATTTTCCAAAACAACAGGACGACAATGCTCAGCTGCATTTTCTAGAGCTCCATCCTACAAAATACAATACGTAAATATCTATTACGTATAACTAAAACTTCTGTTACCAGGAGGATGCTTCAAGAATAAGCCAAGGTACACTCTAATTAAGGTTCATCTCACTATTCACTTATTGGTTGTTCATATGTATTCATACACCTCTACCCTATTTCAAAATGAGTGTGGCAATGATAATAATATTTTATATCTTCATTAAGTACACTTGATTTTTCAGTTTGATAAATACTAAATAATCCCACAAAGTTTAATGAAATATGGGTCTTAAAAAGCACCAAAAGTTTCTAAAGGGCCATTCAGGTCCTATTAATCAATTTTAATTGGAAGCCTTCCTGAATTTTGCTGGGTCTATGGTATCCATGTAGAACACCAAACTTCAAGATGGACCATGACCATGGTCAAAAGTCCCTATCTCAGGTTCTATAAGTCACAGGAAGGCACAGTTGGTGTCAAAATAGTGTTTTGGAGGTCAAGAAATGTGATCATGAATATAAAAGAGCTCTAGATTAATTAAAAAGGTCATATGATAAGCAAAATTTATTATAGCAGCAATATTTTTCCCACGGTCTGTTGTAAAAATAACTTAAATGTCTTTGTACGGTTTTATTAGTTTGTCTGGTTGCTGTCTTGTGTTGTGGCTACCAGGGGTATAAAACCTGATTTTTTTTAGCATCATAGTCCTGCAAAATTACCTCCGAGTTACTGTTGGGCAGTTTTATTAGGAATTTCGTTTAGAATGAATTTTCATTTAGGGTTCATGTTAGAACAAAATGCTTTTATGATGGTTTTTGAAGAATAAAATAACATCAAGTTAAATTAATAAATACTGTATTCGTTATGCATAACAGATTTCTAGGGAACACAAATTTTGACAGTGTTCCACGTATTATATTTCCAATTGCGACAAAACATCCTCTTTCCAAGGAAAGAGCATAACATCTGCCTGGCAGTCTTATAAGGAAGACACAGTCATCTGTGTTCCTGGCCTGCCATCATTTTTAGTTGTAGTAAACAGACTCGCATCACTTCCAGAAGTTTGAAAGACTAGCTGTTGTCATGTATGGTAAAACCAGTCCTCTACAATCCATTAATGTGGCAAAAATGGATGGCTTGTGCGACAAAAGTCAAGCCATGGAAAAACTTATGCACTTAGATGAGACAGACATTTAAATTATATTCACTTTGTGGCAACTAAAGTAATCGTGTTGTTTTGTTATGTCGGATGGTGTACGATATATTTAAGGGTGCTCTACTTTAACATGCTTAATGGGCAAGTCTTCCAGTTTGGACCTTGGACAACCAGCGACCAGACACAGCATATGGTACCTTGTCCACAAGAATTTGCTTCGACTAAGATGGACAAATCCTAAGTGCCAACTTGGATAACAATTTCCAAGATCTCTAACGTCTGTAAGGAGCTAGTCAAATGTTTCTGCAAGGGAAACTGTTCCAACTGTAAATGTGGTAAAGCCAAGAGAAAATGTAATGTGTAACAATCTCAGGAAGATACTAAAAACATTGCAGAAGCAAATTTAAAAAAAATTGACAAGAGACGATGATAATACCGGTCTCAGCAAAACTTTATTAACACTGTTTTCACTAAATCTAGATTGTTGATTTGCCTACCTGTCATATAGATAATAAAATTGTACTAAGAACATTATAATGTCCAAAATCAATTTCCTTAGCCTTAAAAACCCCTATTTTTAATTAGAGCTGGACAATTTAATTGGTTAATTGATATATAAACAATTACCTACGAGCAGTGATTGCACTGATTAGTGTAACAAAAACTAACCGATTAACTGAAATACAATTACATCAACTAATGTTATGAAAATAAGCAATTAATCAAAATTGGTTGTCA